TATATTTTAACGTTGCAGCATAATTCTGTAGTTAGATGGCAAATCCAGATACGTTGAAAAATATTTAAAAAAGTAAGCAATAGGTACGTATATTTATGTGATTTTGTCCACTTTTAAATAATGATAATGTCATATCTAGTTTTGAACATGCACAGTATAGGGAATAAAGTATTCACTTAGGTATATCGTTTTGCATAAAAAAAGCTATAAATACCGCAGCTTGTATGTATATGTTAAAATTACCAAAAATTAACATAATGGTAATCGCCATCTTACTATAGAATTATTTTTATAAAATCATTTGACATTTTTTTTTACCCTGCGTAGAATTCGGTATGCGTTTTACGGTGTGTTTACGGTTTTGGTACATTTAAAAAATAGGGCTTCTATTTTCAACAGCCTCTTATCCTTTGACATACATTTTTTCTACGCAAATCTGACGTTTTCTTCTTCTCTTCTTTGTGAAATTTATAAAATTTCAGTGTTGTCAGATTACTAAACTCGATTATCTAATCCGTGGCCGGTGCATAGAAAATAATCCTAGCCATTTAAACGAGATTTGAAAATAGGGGGATTAGATTTTAAAACGGTGCATATGGGCGTGAGGAGCGAGCATGCGTTTTATGAATGAATCAGTATTTACGTCTATTACGCTTGATTTAAACTGCTGTCACACTTCAAAATTAATTGCGTACTTTACTGAAAAACACTATACAACTATAATAGTTGCAATGAGAAAAATACATTAAACTGATAATAACTGACATTAAGAATGCAAATATACTTCCAAAATGTAATTTTGAAAGCCTTTTGTACGCTTTAGAGCCTTAAGTTTAGTCAATACCGAATTATAACCATAAACAATCCTTGTAACAATACTCTCCCATACGATCATATAATGATTTGACAACTACGCGAATGACACCATGGATACTTCAAATCAAATTTTGTAATTTGACAAAATGATATTTTAATAAAAACATTGGCGTGACGAGCTATTTCCAAGTAGATTATTGTAGCATAGAACCATTTTATGAACCTTAGAATATACAGTGCTTCTTAAAAGTCCCCTCCCCCCCTCTTTTCTTTTGAACGGTGATGAAATTTGGAGGGTGAAAATAAATTATTGCAAGATTCTCTTGTAGTGCTAACAGGTGACGTAATAGGCATCGGTAACGTCACTAGGCAACTGAAACCAATAAAAAAAAAATATTAAATGGGACCTTATTTTAACCATCAAAGACATCGTAAATAAAAAAAAATAGTATGGTTGAATAGGTATTCTAAATACTTTTCAAACTAGGTGTCACTTGATATAGGTCCCATTTAACATTATTGGTTTCAGTTGCCTGGTGACGTCACCAATGCCTATTACGTCACCTGTTACCACTAGTTAATTTTCACCCTCCAAATTTTATTAGTCTAAGTATCACCGTTCAAAAGAAAAGAGGGGGAGGGGACTTTTGAGAGGCACGTATATAGTCAAGAAGGAGGAATCCTAAACGACCTTGGAATCGCGATGGTATCCACATACTTTGATTTTCTTTTACTATACGGAGAATGGTCGCACTGCGCAGCTTTCTGAGTGCCTTTTAAAAGGAGACAGAAAACTCCGCCATTTTGAACCCTTATTACGTGTTGCCTACATCTTGGCGCAATATTTTTAATAGGTGCGTTTTAATCATCCGCTTCTGCTTCGGAATTGTCGGTTTTCTTGTTTTAATCTGACAGTATAAAACGACTAAACCGACAATTCCGAAAGCAGAAGCGGATGATTAAAACGCACCTGATATTTTGCTTGCTGCTGTCAGTGTCAGTGAATATTATTTTTGGAGTCACAGTTTATTGCTTAAGGATCAGTTAGCTCACTCGGACCAGTTGAAAGTTCCAAAATAACATCCACTCCAGGGATACAAATTCAGGATACGCAGAAGACTGCTGTTTTATTATAGGCGGTTGTTATATATTGTATTATCTGAGTTGCGCAGTGTATAAACTGGAACATTGAGATAAAAAGTGCCGACGCAGAGTGAGCGATCTGATTCTTTAGCTATAAACTGTGTCATAGGGTTCAAAATGGCCGCGCCCTATGTTGGGCGTGTCGGATCTCTCTCTTGCCCCGTATAGTAATCAGTATGTGATGGTATCTAATTTTGACAGTGTACTAGACGAATATGGCGACAAATGTTTCCGGTATACCAGTGACGTACTGTCATAAAGGGACGTAGAAAAGAAAATAATAAATTCTCATTTGCATATTATCTAAATTTACCGATTTCTCTCATTTTAACGAATTGCTATTTTCTTGCGAGAAGTTTGCATTTTTTTTATTAACCTTTATTATTTGAATACATTTTACTTTATAATTGCATGTTTTGTGGGATAAATATAGGAAAATATTTTTGGGATAATTTAGAGAGGGATTTCATTTGAAAAATCAAAGCAATAATGTATTAAAAAAAATATTGACTTTTTTACGTGTGTGTGATTTTATGACTGCGGATATAATCCATTAGCCTATATGACTTGTCTTTATTATGACAATGTCTTTATTAATCAAAATTTTACAAATTATTAAGGTTTGAAAAATAAATGTTTTGTAGATATGCGTTAAAAAAAATTAAATATCCTATACTTATATTAAGGTCAAACACCGATGTGTTATTTTTCTTAGATGTTTTTGTTGGAGTAGTAATATTTTTTGCAGGACAATCTTGCATAAGCAGGTAGAACACCTTTCCAAGAAAGGATCCTATAACGTAATAATGATTCTATGAGTGCAAAATAGATTATTTTTAAATGTACATTCAACGCAATATTTGTACGATGATGATATTCAATGATGATAGTCAATTTGTACTCTAAGGTATTTGATATCATTTGTAATACTCATATGAAATTACTGAACGTTACCTTTTATTGTTTCTAGAGAAATAGGTAATATTTTTGTAACTGTATAATGGAACAACATAAGTTTTATCAAAGGTTAGTAAGTTTTTATAATTAAACCATTCGAAAAATTTTATAAGATCTGTTTCTATTATTAATTTTAATCAACTTCAGTTCTCTGCATTTTACAAAATAACTGTGTCGTCTGAAAAACTTACAATATTTCCATCTATATTTAAACGACAAATTATTTAAAATAAAATTAAACAAGATAGGACCTAAGACAGTGTCTTGAGGCATGCGATATGCTACTTACTTCTTTACTTGAGATTATTAAATCTATTTGTGTTCGTTTTTGTAAATAACTTTGAAATAAATTATATAGGGTGCATCACATTCATGCAATAAACTTCTATTATACGAAAAAGACGGTACATGATATAGTTAGTAAAGAATTTATTTACTTAGATACTTCAACCGGACCACTTTTATTGTTGGAACAGCTGTTGGTAGAAGTCTTATTCTTGGTTTTGAGGTTCGATCAAAACAATCTGCTTTAAAATGGCGTAAACAGAAAAAATTAAGATATTTTGGCTCACAATTTATTTGTTGCATAACCTCAAGTCATAACTTTGTTTTTTGAGAATCTTTAGAAAATCTGAAAATTGTCTACCTGGAATTAATTTATATAATTTGTAAATCTTAAATCTTTAAGAAATCTGAAAATTGTTTACTTGCAATCAATTTATAAATCTAAATTGAACAATAATTTATTCATTTTAACAACCACATAAATATCTTAAAATTGCATAATAGAATTGTTTAAATAAAAGTATGTATACCCTATAAACCATGAGACTACGCCTATATGAGCACAGTTGATTGCAGACATTAAAACGTTAACAATCTTTAATGTGGTTGAAAATCGAGAAAACAAAATACTTGCATATGAAATGTAGAAGATTCCTTTTTACTTTTAGCTGTGCTTCTATATCCATAAGGCGAACAACTGACCATATTGTCTTGTTTGTCTTTTAATGCGGAAAATTTAAAATTAACAGTAATACTAAACAAATACTAAACACTAAACACCTTTTAAAAATGTCTACAAAACATACGCTTGATAAAAGTTTAAATTAACACATGAAACGTCCAAATTATTAACAAATTTTAATCACTAAAATTATAAACCAATTTTAGAAACCATTTATCATATGATGATGAGTCATCCATAGTACAACATGACTAACACTTCCGTCAAATCGATTAGATTAACGCGGACATGGCATGCTCCTTCCTGACTATGTATGTTCTAAGGTATGAACAATACGTTCGTTAATTTTAAGAAATTTTATTTTTGTCATTATTATTAATATTCCCAAAAAATACTCCAATCTAAAATATCATCTTAGTTATTTAATGAATAAAAAAAAATATAGGTTTGTATATAGACAAAAAAAAAACCTTTTGACAATACTTACAATTTAAAAATAAGAGGTTATTGCTTCTAGCGGGATAGATTTCTGAGTATGAATTTTATATGACAATTTGTGCCCTTGCCCATAAAAATTGACGTGTTTTTTAAATTTTGAAAAACTCCTTTGTTTCTGAGTTTCTGGGGGTCAAGTTTTCGTTGGTACACTCTGTATATTGACCGAACTATAACTAATTATTTTTTTCTGTTACATGTTTTTTATATTTTTGTTTTTATGATTTAAAATCCTTACCTGCTTATCCAGTTCTACACATATTTTTATTTTCCAATTTCAACATTTTATTGTTTTTAAAATGTTGGTTCATTATTTGCATCTAATAAATGATTTATTAATAAAAATCAAAAATTTAAAAAGTAAGTCAAATAAATTTTTTTTCGTAAAACATTTTGTGTGAAAAAAACAATGATGTGGATGTGGAAAAAACAAAAATTCGAAAGGCGGGTTGCTGATAAAAAGCCATTGACAATGATGCAAAAATAAAATAAAAATATGGAATTAATAAAAAGCTTTATTAAAAATATATACATGCATAACAGCTGAAAAATATATACAAAAATAAATAAACCAAAAAAGGAATTAATAATAAATAAAATCACAGCCAAACCATGATCATACCATTTTTCTAATTTGTTTTCTTGGATCACTAGCCGAGCTTGTAGGTTGATGGGTTTGCTATTCCACCATCGACCCTAAAATAAAAAAAAATATTTACAAATTATCCATGTTTCTCTTATATCCGATAACAACAACATTGTATACTGGAAAATTACAACTTTGATTACAAAAAAATTGAAACTACATTCACCGCGTTCCTCAAAGATCTGTATTGTACACGCTCTTAATGACTATAAATGATATATACTTATAGCTTTATTTGGTGTGTTTAAATGTTTAAATATCAAAACCATACCTGATAATAATCGTACAGCATACGATGCCCCCACGGTTTGTGCTGCTTAAATCTCTCTGAAGCAATCTTTTTCAACATACTGTCTTTCCATTGGACACCCAACGCCGTACCAGTGAGCGTCCAGTGAAGAAACGGCGCCAGGTACTTGTTCAGCCTTGACCAAGCCAGACAAGCTGGTGCCCACGAAACTGAAATAAAACGGTCTAGTGAAAAATCGCTCGAATATTCGATAATTGAAATAACCGACATTATTCGACTATTGAAATGACTACTCGAATTATAACTTCAAGCGATAATCGTCGCTGAGCAATTACCTGAAAAGTGATCACTTGTAATGCTTTCAAGGGCCGGGCGCTGACGTATGGCAGTCGAGCATGTTGGAGTAGATATCTCCAGTGGAAATAAGGCTCGTCAGTATGTGCGTTCAAAAGATTTATTAAACATGAAGGATAATAAAAATGTACCTATCATAATTGACAACTATATCATACAACTTGATATAAAAGAGCCTAACTGATATATACTAAGTACTAACTTTACTTAACAAATTAGACTGCTAACTTCACCACATTCCCTTGTTAATTAAAGTTAAACCCATTTTTGTAGACAAAATCTGTAGTCGTTGCCTTTGAAGAGCCGTAGTCAATATATCAACCACTTGCAATTCTGTCAAAATTTGCTCAATCCCTAAAATGCATTCATTAACTTTTTCTCGAACAAAGAAATGTTTTGTAGCTATATGTTTCGTTCGCCAATGAAACTCAGGATTTTGGGCTAGTTTCACAATTTGTCCAAATAATGTGCTTAACCAAATCATCTCCTTTATTGCTTCACTAGCTGCAACAATCTCAGCTACCATTGTCTGCCTCTCACTAAGCCATGAAATAGCTCCATCTGCATAGGTTACAACCACTCCAGTAGTTGATCTACATGTTTTTGTACATCCTCTAAAATCTGCATCACTGTAGCATTCTACATCTGAAGAGTATACTATACCAAGCTCAAGAGTACCTGCTAAGTACCGAAATACTCTCTTGACTCTTACTACGTCTTCTGAGGTTGGATTTTCTAAATTTCTCGATAAAAAGCCTACAGCATATGCTATATCGGGTCTGGTACCCAGCATTAAATACATTAACGCTCCTACTGCCTGCCTGTATGGATAGTTATGTTTTTTCTCAGACTTTCCCTGATTTTGGAGTTTCTGAAACTTTTTTAGAGTAGGAGTTAAAATTGATTTACAATCTAAAAAGTTAAAACGTTCTAAAATTCTTCTAGCATGTACTTTTTGACTAATTTTAATAAAGCCATCGGAGCTTCGCTTAATTTCTATTCCTATAGAATATTCTGTAGATTTTGAGGTTATCTTAAATTCTGTTTGGAGCTCAGCCAGGAAATCCTCTAGGTCACGCAAATCAGTTGTCGCAGTTAAATCGTCATCCACGTACAATGCCAATATGAGTTTTCTACTATCTTTTTCTCTAAGATAAAGACAAGGGTCGGCTTCACTTGCTATAAAGCCCAGCTTTTTTAGAAAACCCCCAAACCGCCTGTTTCAGCATCTTGGAGCTTGTTTTAGTCTGTAAAGGCTTCTCTTAAGTTTACAAACTCTATCAGTATAACCACTTGGCTGATTCAGGTAAATTGTTTCCTCAAGTTCTCCATATAAAAGTGCAGTAGATACATCAAACTGAGCTAGCTGCAATACTTAAAATGGATCTAATTGTGCCCAGTATTGCTACCGGACTAAATGTTTGGTTATAGTCAATACCTTGTCTCTGATTAAAACCCTTAATAACTAACCTAGCCTTAAACTTATCTATGCTAGCATCTGGATTAGACTTCACTTTAAAAACCCATCTACAGGGTAAAGCTTTCGCTCCTTCTGGTAAGAATGCTAGCTCCCATGTTTGGTTTTCGTTTAAAGACGTCTACTCAATCTTCATACCTTTTTTCCACTGATAGATTTGGTGACTGTTGACTGCTTCTTTATACGTTTCAGGCTTTTTAATTGTACTAACAAGGTCCTCTATAATCAATACTCTCTCTCTCTCTCTTTTTAATTTTGATCTGTCTCTTAGACTTTGTCTAGAAGATGTTGGCATATCCTCGTAATATTCTTCTTTGTCAACACTTTCTTCTAGATCCGTTCTCTTCTCTTCATTTTCTTGATATTCTTCTTCGTCATCTTGATATTTTCGTTTTAAAAATCTCTTAATGACAATTTTATATAGTCTGTAGGTTTTTCTTCTTCATCGATTTCTTCTTCTGGTTTCTGTTCAAATTGTACCCTTGGACATTTTTCTGGTTTCACTTGAAATTGTACATTTCGAGACAGTACAACCTTCTGAGTTTCTTTTACCCAAATTCTATATCTTTCGTCTCCATCATACCCTAGAAGATATCCCTTGGAATCTTCTTTATCCATTTTCTTTCTTTTTTGACTTGGAATATGGAAGTAGCAACTTGAGCAAATAATCCTTAGATGCTTTAGTCTAGGCTTGTGTTTTATCCATAACTCATATGGACTTACTCCTTCAACTATCGAATTGGCTGTACGATTCAGAATATAGATGGCCGTACTTACTAATTCAGCCCAAATGCCCCCTGGAAATTTGACTTCTGGGTTCGAATACCTCGAAGTTCTAGCCATTTCAATGGCGGTTCTGTTCTATCTTTCACTTTCTCCGTTCTGTTCTGGAGTGTAAGGTGCTGTCAGTTTACGAATAATGCCGTTTGAGGACAAAATATCTCTAACCTCTTCATTGTCAAACTCGCCTCCTTTGTTGCTTAAAAATTCTTGAATCGTATGTCCTAATGTCTTAGCTTGTGCACTCATATGGATTAAAGCATCTTTGACTTTTGATTTATGTCTAATGAAGTAACCATATCGGAATTTAGTGTAGCTATCTTTAAATAAAACTTCATACTCTTTTTTTCGGAAAGATTCTGCCACTGATTTGAATCTGATTCAGCTAAATTTATCTTGTTTCATATGGATATTAGAGCCACGGTTGCATCTGCTACGTTACTGGTATTATCAGTGTCTCTGCTTCTAGACGGTCTTCCGTCGGCTATTCACTTTTGACAATTTCTAAACCAATGGTCCTTTAATTTACAATAGTTGCAAACGTCGTAACTTCTACTCTTTTTTCTACTGTATTTATATCTTCTCACTTGCCTTTGTCTGATTTAGCTGTTACTGCTTCTTGAACTTGATTGCAGCTATCTGCATTTCTTATAAAATTTCTTTCATGCATACATAGTTGTGTTGCTAATTCGTTAAATGTCTTATTATTATCTTTAGTTAGCAACATCCAGCCTCATCTAAATGTTTTAAAGTTCGAAGGTAAAATTTGTAGAGTTTTACAAACTAACAATAAGTCTGGAAGTGCAGTAAGATTCTTAGCTCTAAGACCCGTATTTATTTTTGTTCACAAACTATTTAATTTGGCTATATGAGTGGAAACATCATCTTTTGAAATCCAGTTAAAGGCGAAGAAATCAGTACAGATTTTAAATAATTGGTCTTGCGACGTAGCTTCAAATTATAGTTTAAGTCCAATTCACAACACGGGGGCTGTTTCTTTATCCATACATTTTTCATAGACTGCATCGGTAACTGTTGTCGTTATCATCGACTTGGCATAACTATTTGTCTTACGAAACAGATCAGATTTTCTATATGCTTCTTAATCTGTTTTTCCGTAGTACCTGCAGATACTGGTTTAGGTTTAGTTAACTTGTCGTCAATAACATCTACTGCTCCTTCGTGATAGTCCAATAGATCTCTGATCTTCCTTTTCCATTATGGCCAGTTTGACTGACCGGCTAATGGTTTAATATACTTCGCTAATTCCATCTTAATACCTATGCTTTTAACGATACTTGAGGGACTACCGCTAGTGCTTTTAAATTCCTATGACTTACAACACAACTGAGAGCGTGCCTGGGCCCATAACCTGTTGGAGTAGATATCTCCAGTGGAAATAAGGTTCGTCAGAATGTTCGTTCAAAAGATTTATTAAACATGAAGGACAATAAAAATGTACCTATCATAATAATTGACAACTATATCATACTATCATACAACTTGATATAAAAGAACCAAACTGATATATACTAAGTGCTCTACTTAACAAATTAGACTGCTAACATCAACAGAGCAATCGTTGACGTCATCACTTTCCTCCTACTTCATTCGCGACACCGAAACTCAAGTGAAAAATCATTCGAGTTTATAATGCGAGTGATGCTGGCGATCTACCCATGATCTACGAATCAATTCATTATTTGAACAAAAATTTCGAGTGATAAATCGCTCGAGAGATCTCTCGATTTTTTAAAATCATCCTTTTTTTTTAATACTGGAAAAAAAGCCCCGAAACTTACCATATGTGGTGTCTGTATGAAAGCTCTCGTCGAAAGCCAACAAATCGATCATTTCCGAATCCGTCAGACTATGCTTGGTACAAGTTAGAAGGGCAAGAGCGTGTTGGACTTGCGTTTCACCCAAAATGGCTTCCAGTTCTTCTAACATAAGATGCAGCTGTTCATTGACGTTTCCTTTAGGAACTATTTCGTGTTCTTTATCCACCCACCAGGACGTTTGCCAGGCTAAAACCTACAGAACAATAAATTTATGTATGATTATCTTCCTGAAGGATCCCACCTGGGACCAATATTTTTTATAAATGATTCGCTAGATCAAGCATGGACAACGTTCTTATACAGAGGGTGGAATGAAAAAAAAAATTGATCGTATTTATTTGTCCAAGGGCAGATGTTGAAATATACACGAACTCTTTACGCTACGTGGGCTACCAAGAAGGAGTAAAAAGGATTCAGTATCCGTAGGAGAGATCTTAATGATCAAATTTGAGGGTAAGATAGCAGCTAAATGAGATTGGAGTGCTAATGCTGACAAGCAGCAGCCTAGTATTGAAATGAAAAGAGGATGTAAAAAGATATAGGGATCCCATAACCATATATATTTCAGTGTCACACCCGCTGAGGGGGTGGTAGAAAATATCTTTATTTAGAAAAGTTTCCCATGCCTGCGCCAGCTTGTAAAACGTTGTTTCCATACCTTCGAATATAACGGAATGGTGCACTCTTGAACAGATTTCAGCACGCAGTCTTGAATTTTAGAATTAACGCTATGATTGTATTGCATTACGCTCGACATCAAAATTCCTTTAGCTTCGCTCTCGCCTAGAACCGGTACCTGCACGAAGCTATCTTGGTTCAGCTTTTCGCTAATTTTGGCATGCATATCACTGTTCTCTGATACAGAGATGATTAATTTTATGTTATCGGGTAGCACGGTGGGCAGCCAATCTATATTTTTGGAACTGTACGTTCTGACTTGGTCCAGTCCGTCTAAGAGGATGACTAGTGGTCGCTGAAGACAGCTGGCGGTTAGTAGACTAAGAAGAACTTTCTGGTATGTTTCTATGTTCTGTAAATCAAAAAATATACGCATTAAAGCAAGATGTTGCTAGGTTCCTACTAACTGCGCCATCTAAGTTTAATGTTTTTAAGTGAATTAAATAAAAATTGTTGTAAAAGAGAATTTAAAGCAAAATATATTATAAATTCAAGGCGTATTATCTTAATTACTGTTCTTTTGGCGAAATTAGAATAAATAAAAATAAACTTACGTGATTACAATGGCATTTATGACCGTAATTTAAAATTGAACACTGATTAGTGATGGAACTCAAAAGTTGTTCGATTGTACTAGACTGCGCACTAATGCCGACGAATCTGACTATTAAGAAAGCTTCCGGCAACCACTGTTGGCAACACTGTGCAACTCTAGCAAGCAGCGTAGTTTTCCCGCAACCACTGGGCCCGTAAATCACCAAGGGATTAGTACTGTTTCCAGTTAAGTACCTGAAATTTATAAATAAATTATCATTTGAAAATTTTCCTACATGCATTTTTTTATATTATTGATACAATCATTCACTGGTCAGACTCGTTTAAATATATGGTAAATTATTTAGGCGCTTCATGAGCCTTAATTTGGGGTGAGTAAAAATTAGTTGACATATTTTAAGGGCTGGTTTTAGGGTAACCCACCCTTATAACTATATATAACTTTTTTGTAGTCATGGTTACCCCAAAACCACCCCTTAAAATATTTCAATAAATTCTTATTCACCCTCAAATTAAGATTCATGAAGCGCCTAAATAATTTACCAAATAGGGATTTTTTAAGTTAAACAAATTAGATTTCTTCTTAATTTATGGCCCCATTTTACCTCCATAACTCCTTAAGGGTACAATTTGATATAGAGGTAAATTGCGTTAGATCATCATATTTTGGGGTGACACCTGTTCTGTGTCGGTACTTATGCGGAACACCATATATATTACCAGTTACAAAAACTTGGAATACCTATATAATTTACATTGAGCAAAAAATTACCAAAGGTATAAATATCATTGTTGTACTTGGTAGGGCAGTGATCCACAAATCCCTAGTATAATACACAACGCCACAACGCTATCCTCTTAAGTCATATAGATTATGTATGCTAGGTTATTTCTTCATGTTCGAAATACCTTCAGAAAAAGTTGGACAATTTACAATATCAGAGCTTACATGTCATCACTGGTTTTATGAAATCATCCTCAGTTCATGCTTTATAAGCAGGCAGCGGAGATTTTCGATATCTCCTTAAATTTAAAGTAGTACTGACTTTATTATAAATATCCTCTAAAAAACCTTGCAAACAACCTGTCATCAATTCGTTAAAATATTTGACAACATTAGACAGAGAAAGAAAAGTTTTAAAAAAGGTGACTGAGACTACTATTATTAAGTCTTATAAACCAAATGGAAGATTTTCTCCCAAAGATGTGCTCTACCATTCCATGAATTTTAATTGGAGATCCAAATCTCTCCAATTCCAATCTTCACCAACGGATCTGTGGGACCTTCTAATGATTTAGGCTTCAGGATATTCTTTCAATACCCTAACTACAAAATTTTAAGTATACTATTTGATACTACTCGAATATATGTCCTGTGGAAATTATAGCAATTAATCATGACTTGAAAATGGTTTTAAAAAAATCTTTGGCTCAATTATCTTCTCGAACTCCAAAGCTGCTTTACAAAAAAGTGAAATTATATAGAGAGATTGGTCATTGTTCCTTTCTAACTAAAAGAGGCATCAATATTAACAAATCTTTGGCATGGATTCCAATACCTTTCGGCATTACTAGTAACCATAAAGCTGATCAATTAGCAAATAAGGGATTATTTTGTACAATTCCCGTAAGTAACAATATAATGAAAGAAGATAACTTTCCACAACCATACGGATGAAAACTTCACAGTGTCTGTCCTCAATCCATCTGTTTTGAATTGGAGAAGTGTGATCACTTAATAATATCCATCTTGGAGTGTCCCATTTTGACTAGTATTTGCAAATAATAAAGGCTGATTTATCGCCCCATTTGATAGTGACTATGTTTTCTCGCATTTGGATGACAGGAGAATGATCACCCTTTCAAAATTTTTGAGTATATTTAAAGTTAATATCCGGGTTCGCCACAGAAAACTGAAAAATTTTCAGTGCCATTCCGAATTCAAATAGAAAAAAACGGAGACCATAAATTGGCGATATGGCAAACTTGTGGCAAACTTATGGTAAACTTGTGAAAAACTTGTGGCAAACTTGTGGCAAACTTGTGGCAAACTTGTGGCAAACTTGTGGCAAACTTGTGGCAAACTTGTGGCAAACTTGTGGCAAACTTGTGGCAAACTTGTGGCAAACTTGTGGCAAACTTGTGGCAAACTTGTGGCAAACTTGTGGCAAACTTGTGGCAAACTTGTGGCAAACTTGTGGCAAATTTGTGGCAAACTTGTGGCAAACTTGTGGAAAACTTGTGGCAAACTTGTGGAAAACTTGTGAAAAACTTGTGGCAAACTTGTGGCAAACTATCAAAATTTTAAATCTGACAGACTATTGTAAATAGGTCAGAATGGAGCTATGGCATGATAATTTACTACTTAATTAAGGTTTTCTTACCCTTTCACATCGTTCACTGTTTTTTCCCGGTTAGTGCTACACTGGACAGCTTTTTGGCAAAAACTGGTCTGCTGATTTAGCTCTTCGAATAAAGTCGCTTCAATACCGTAACTAGGTTTTAACATGGTTTTACTTTGATGCTCATCTATGATGGTGTTTATCATTTCGCTAAGATGTTTTTTCAGATGGTGGACGACATTTAGCATATAATCCTCATGTTCAGGGATGTTTACGTTGATACCACCATCTACGAACTTTACTGGTATCCTAACTATGTGTTTTTCAGCTAACTGGTTCTGAAAACATAAACGGGATTAAAAAGTTTGTCCATTACTATCTAATATTATACAATATTATGAAAAACGATTACCTTCAAGTCTTTTTGTAAAATATCTAATCTCCTATAGGCTTCCGCTTCTCCCGGACTCATATTATCTGGAGTTTTTGCTGTAGGAATGTATACCCTGTTCAACCAGATACATCTTTTGGCCAGTTCTTGACTCATGAATACAGTGTTGTGTACTTCCTACAAAAATATAATATAATAATTACAGACGCCGCTTTTTAGTAGAAAGGAAATGGCACTACAAATTAGCAAGTCGTTGATCTCAATGTTAAAAAAATATTTTTTCTACATCCACATGGATATTAGCTTATCTACGCTCAGACTACAAAATGAAAAGTATATTATTTCGTTCAACTGAACGAATATATTTCATATCCATTCTAGGTAGCGGAAAATGAAATCCACCAATCACAGTTTATATTTTGGTCTTCCAACTACTATTATTTTAAAATTTTCAAATGAGTGACATTTCTGTCAAACTAATTGTCAGTATATTTTTTCGTTACTGAGATTAAATAAACATTAAAATGATTTATTTATTTCGTCCACATTTTGAAATAATTTAAAATTTTAATCAAGCTATATGAAACTAATTTAATTACGAGTATTAGAACTAAAATGGATGTCAGGAAACGGTGTCGGTCTTCCACGCGTGAGACACGAGTTCGAATCTCGGCTGTAGGACTAATAAAATTAAATCATTTTTTAAGTTATTATTACAAGTCATAAATAATTTTAAAATTAGTTATTTTGTCTTAATAACCTAAAATAATTTTTAAATTTAATTTTCGATAGTGAGTCGTAGAAAAAATATACTGTACAACTCTAGTGTATTGTTCATATCCACTCTTGTTGCACAAACTATTATTACCTGTTCAACGACAGTGGTTAAATATGTATCACGAAGTTCCTGCGTAAATACAGTAATCAGAACCCCGAGCATTTTATCAATCTCCGTAGCCCATTCGGCAAACGCTTTCTCTCTGTCCTGCAGCGAGGATTCATTGAATCCTGGGATATGGCTTGATATGGGTCGAAGTCTGTAGCAAGGAGGCTGCGCATCACTGTCCAACATATACCTTTAAATAATGTGTAGAATTAAAACAAAAGTCACTGGGAATACATTGACACTATATTAGTAAAATAATTAATCGGACATATCCTCTCGAAATATTTAGTTTTAAATTATTGTATTTTTAATATAACAAAAACGAGCTACAAGTGAAATGGCGCAGTCAATAGGATTGTCTAATGTAATTATATAATACAACAATAGAAATTATTTAATTTATCAGTAGGAAATTAATTTTAATATATCACTGATGATATGACCAATAGTTTTGATTGTAATTGAGGGTTTATTAAAAGTGGTATTTTATTTTATTGATACTGAAATTAATTCCATTTGGCAATATTGCTTGCATAAAAAATGGCTGAACAATATTTCGAACTCACCATTTCGACAATAGTCCTTGCGCTGACTGATTCTCAGCACTATCCATTGCCATTTTAAAATCTGTACTTTCTATCGTGATTGGTAGTAGCTGCGTGCCTAACGAATTGTTCAGAAATAGAACTGGTATGATATAAGCAACTTCCATTTGCCCTAAAAATAAAAATATTCTATCTTAGCTCAGATATTATGGATATTTTTATAAAAGCTCCCTAAGAAAACATGTTATTTAATCTGTTTGAAAATGTTTTAATCTGTCGTTAAATAAATTACATAACTTACTCGTTAATTCTCCAATACACAGCTCGGGAAATTCGTGATCTTGTTGCTTTTCCAATAAGGTTTTCCAGTGCAGATCAACTATGTGAAGTTCGTAACCTTTGGACCTGCAAGTGGCTCTCAATTGTGGATAAATTTTATTGTGTAGGGCTCCTTTCTCAACGTTACAATCTAAAATAAAAGCAGTACAGAAACTCTGTTTTTAAAAAAAACTCAAAATTAACTATTCAAAAACAACCTAAGTAAACCGAAGAAAAACAAGATCTTGTCACCAAAATGATATGGTGAATAATATAAATTTTGTATCCTCCAATTCAACATCACTTGGAGAGTATCTCGAAGAGGGTATGGTGGAATTAACAGGTGAACAAAGTCTTGACCGAGCAGTAGACTAAGTAAGTAAGGCCATTATAACCGCTTTCGAGGAAAACTATCCGGAGAAAATAAGGCAGAAAAGAACAAAAACAGTCTGGTGGAACAAGCACTTGGAACGCCTTAGAGGCGAAGTGCGAAGGCTATTTAATAAAGCCAAGTCAACCGAAGACTGGGCCCTATATGACGCTAAACTCACGCAGTACAACAAGGAGATAAGAAAGGTTAATCAGCAATCATAGAGAAAGTTCTGTGAGGAGTTATCTGAAACACCCACATGCTCTAGAATCCATAAACGTCTAGCTAAAGAGAGTACTGCAAAGCAAGTAGGATTTCTCAGGAAAGATGATGAAACCTATATAAAAACCTTCAAGGAAACGTTAACAATGCTCACAGAAGTACACTTTCCGGCCACAGAAATTTTGCTAGACCTTATAGTGGCATACAGACCTCAAAGAAGGTCTCGTAGGCCAACTCCTTTGGAATGGAGGCTAGCTACAGAAATATCGAGGCCGAACAAAATTAGATGAGCTACAAACGAATTTCAACCATACACATTCCCAAGAGTAGATGGAATATATCCTACTCGATGTATGTGTAGCGTATACCAAAGGCGTGGCAAAAGGTGAAAGTCATATATCTTCCTAAAGTAGTAAGGTTTAATGATATGACACCAAAGTCGTACCGCCCAATCAGTCTATCGTCATTCATGCTGAAAACGCTAGAAAGAGTAATAGATAGATATATATATATATATATATATATATATATATATATATATATATATATGAGACGAAATACTAAGAGAAAACCCTCTCGGCGACCGTCAATATGCATATCAGCCAGGCAAGTCAACCGATTTGGCCCTAAATGATCTCAACAGGCTACTGTCAAAATACCTAGAGGATAAAGAAATGGCAGTAGTAACTTTCATAGATATTGAGGGAGCTTCTAGTAATGCCCAAACAAAATCTATAATTAACGCCCTAACAATAAAAGGGGTAAGAGTAGTCCTATGTCAGTGAATAAAAGACAGCCTAGAAGAAAGGGTAATAATATCGTCTCTAGGCGAGGCTATACTGACAGCAAAAGCAAGCAGGGGCTGTCCCTAGGGAGGAGTACTATTACCCCTTCTCTGGTCAGTCCTAGTGGACGAACTCATTAAAAGGCTAATATCTGCAGATTTCTACTGCCTAGGGTATGCCGATGACCTGGCGATCGTCGTAAGAGGCAAGTTCGCAGGTGCAATATCGGAGCGCACACAAAACACTTAAACATTGTTGACGAGTGGTGCAGAGAGGAGGAACTAACAGTAAACCCTCACAATACTACAATAGTCAACTTTACAAAACGAAAAGTACCAACAGGACTAAAGTCACCAGTATTGAAAGGAGTGCTCAAGAGGCCAAATACTTGGGAGTCATCTTTGACCACAGGTTAACATGAAATCAACACTTGCCAAAAGTCACCCAAAAGAGCACATCCTTCAACTAATGCGAAGGTTGTGTGGAAAAAATTTGGGACTACAACCGAAAATTTCCCTATGGTTATATACCAGCATCATAAGGCCGATGATAACCTAAGGGTCGGTGGTATGGTGGCCAAAGACTCGGCAAGCTGGAGCCATTCGAAAGCACAATGGTATTCAAAGGCAGGCATGCTGAGCTATGAAAACGAATCCAACAGCAGTTATAGAAGTCATGCTAAACCTAACACTACTACATATATTTATTGAAGGTAAAGTCAGGTTTATTACATACAGACTGCACAAAGGTTCATCACCCATAAGCAGTTTGCATGGACGCGACTACAACGAGCTATATAAAGAGTTGGAGAACGACCAAATAATGGGAATGCTTTCAGATTAAATGCTCCAAAAGTATAGTTTTCAGAAGCAATATAAAGTAAGTATATACCAGACAGGGAAGCGTTGACGGGATGACGTCCTATTTATGCAGATCTCACCTGCTATACAGATGGCTCCAAAACCCATGAAGGTTTAGAAGTAGGTATATATAGTACCAAGTCAAAGACAAGAATCTCACTGAGCTTAGGTAAACGACAGTATTCCAGGCAGAAATAGCAGCAATGCATCATTGCGCAAAAGAGGTATTAAGACAGAAAGTAAATGGAGAAACCATTGTCATATACTATAAAGGCACTCAGTTCCATGCAAGTACACTTAAAGCTTGTGTGGAACTATTTGGAAGCCCTAACAGAGCTGGGTAGTCAAAACAGACTAATCTTAGCTGGGGTACCAGGCCACAGAGGACATAAGGGCAATGAAGAAGCTGATTGACTAGCCCAAGAAGGAGCCTCAAATGCTCTTATTGGTCCAGAACCCTTCTGTGGTGTACCAAAATAAACTATCAGAATATGCACAAAGCAGTGGATGTTTAAAATATCTCAGGAGTGATGGAAAAACTCTCTAGTACAGAGACAGGCCAAAGAGTTCTTAAAAGGACCATCGCCTAAACTCACCGAGCATCTACTAGGCCTTAATAGGAAAAATACTAGAGTACTAATAGGTCTATTAACAGGGCATTGTAGGCTTAACAAACATATGCTTAATATCGGTCTGACAGAAGAGACCTTGTGCCGATTCTACCAGGAAGAGGATGAAACGGTAGTACACGTATTGTGCCACTGCGAAGGTCTAGCAAGACTAAGATTCCTTACACTTGAAGAAGAAAAACCAAGGGCAACTAGCTATACCGAAGAACTACTTCTCAGTCTATGGAGTCTACTACAAAAGTCCGAATTAGACAAGGTACTCTAAACCACGATTCAAGGATATCCACAATAGATCTGAAAAGGTCGAGCAGGTCCTAATTAAATATAATTTAATCCTCCAATAAAAATCTGTCCAAGTGAGTTAATGTTATGATGAGAGGCAAAAATCGAAAGATTGTCATAAAATAAAAAGGACGGTAGATGAGCAACTTTGGAAATGCCAGTGTTAAACCCTACACTTAAAATTGTTGAAATATCTGGAAAACTGTCAAATGAAGATCTTATTAACTGCCCAAAATTTGAGAACATAAAATATTTTCTTAGTACTAGTGGTTGACTGAGATTATTATGCTTCCATTCAAGATACGAATTTACATTTAATTTCCTGATAGCCGAATCGGTAAAGCAGCGTACGTAAAACGGATGGATGAAGAGTTTGAATCCTTTCAGAGACAGACTTTTTCAATCAATTTGTTTTCACATTGGTGGTCCAAAAATAATTTTAATTATTTTGCAACCTTCAAAAATGTATTAAGATCCATAATAATTATTTTAATAATTGAATGTACCTTGTGAATCTGCTGCACAAATATAAATCACGATTTTTCGGCTTTTCGAGGCGGTTTTCGTTTGCGCTATCTTTCCCATGATCAGGTTCTGAAGATTTTCGTTCAGATCAGAGACTTCTTGCGGTATGTTGCCTTCGAATAATTTTGGGAACTCTTTGGGACTTTGGTTGTCTGGAGGAGAGCTTAAAGATACCGAATCTAGAATAATAACAAAACAATTTAATAATCATTATTCGCAAGAAGATTGTATGTATGTAGAGTCGTCCATTATAAGTTATATGTAAAAATGTTTTAAATTAAAGTTATAGAACTTACTCTTTTGCATACTAAAGAGTAATCCACAAAAATTGTGAGATGCGAATAATTATTATGTTCGTGATAACTACATTGGCGCCATCTATCAGTTTCTAAAATATAAACTCGACTAAGTGGTTTGCGACTCTTCTAAGTGAGTCACACTCATCTGTGACTTCATTCGTGACGTCATCGATCAGAGAGTTACTACTGTCTAACTTTGTTATTATTGGTCTGATTCGAATGATAAAAAGGGTGTTCAACGTGAACCGTCATATAGATATCATATTTAATAAAAAACATTCGCAGGTAGCATTGCCAAAAGGGCATAATCCTTTATCTTCGATTCGAACGCTGTAAACGTTATTAATGTAAAAAAATATCTAATATTTAACTAAAAAATATACGCAGTAGCATCGCTAAAAGGACACCAGATATAATAGTTTAAATTTTTAGTAAATATTCATATTTTTCGCAATAACTATGTAGTATATATAGGATATGTTTCGTTTTAAATATTTTACATCTGTATAAGCTGATTCGCTTTTAAGAAACATTTCAGGTGGTATAACTTTTATTCGAAACATTTTATTGTTATTCTTGTAATAAGCAAGTAATTAAATGCAACTTAAAGCTAGTTTTACAATGCATATACAAAAATATACATTACTACTACAATATATGGATGATTTTCTTTGAAATAATGAAAATGATAGAAGCATTACCAAATATTAAAAGCTCTTGTTAAAACAACACATAAATACAGCTTTTACTTTACATTACAGTTAAATAAATACCTAATTAATGAAAAAATATGATAAAATAAAAGGTACTTAAGAGTGGCCATTTTGTAATTGAACTTTATTGCCAACGGTTTACAAGGGAGCACCCTGTATAAATAGTTTGTTTACTTTATTTTATGTTTTTTTGGAATCCACGAGTCAAATTACATATGACAGTGTTGCCAAATTTTTAATATTTTTTTTTGAGATAGTTCGTAGGCCATGAACTGGAAACGAATGTTCTAAGTACGCGTCACGTGGCAACTTTTTGTCTCAAGCGGCAAAGTGTCACTTTTCGCTCTTAATGCACAAATATAACATTATTTTCCAGTTCATGGCCTATCTCCTAAAAAAAAAGAATTTGTTAGTGAAAAAAGAAAATTTGGCAGAACTAATTTGAACCATATATTCCAAAAAAAACAAAATATACAGCAATCAATATTAATGGCATTTCCGGAAAATCAGAAGTCGGTTTGATTATTAGTGTCAATTTAAAATTATATCTATTAATATGTTTGTGCCAAATTTAATCCAAATCGCTTCATATCTGAAATACATATTAACGTGGCTGTGGTCGCATTGTCATCCTAAATACCATGTACCCTGTATAATACCATAAATAATGAATGATGGAAATGAAAACCGTGTAGCTTTATGAATATAGAGAAGGAACTACAATTACTGACCAGAAAAGTTTCAAAAGTTAATAAGCAATATACTAGGTAGTTTGAAAAGTTTACTAAAAAGTTGATACTTCATACCTACTAGTGGCCTCCCTAATTTGGTTTACGTTGAGCGTTGTTTTCTCTGATTGAGGTAAAATAATATCATAACTGTTTGGCAATACGTAACAGTAAGAAAATTTGAGGCTGATATGCGTTTCTGTTACAAGTTTACAATTTGTTTGAAGAAGTGAGAATTAGAATAAGGGTAGAAAGAAAGTGTATAATAAAACTTATCAAACACTCTAATGAGTTAGGAAAGGGTCTAGTTTCGTGCAAAGTGGGAAGACCTGCATGTGTTGGTTTTAGATTTAATATGTGCGTTGGCGATGACGAAAAATGATCATAAAGTTAGAGTGGGGGTGGTTTTTATACTTAAACCAGAACATCCAACATATGCCGTGGCAAAGTCTTACATACCAATAACTGTTACATCATTTCTATTGAAAGGATTGGAAAAATTGATTAATCAGCATGTCCGACAAACCACTTTGATAGAGAGGCCATTTCATACAAACCAACATGCCTATCAGTGAGTCCGCTCTGAATCATTTTGTAACCAAGATAGAGGGAAGACTCAGTAGTCAAACAATAAGCCTAGGAGTTTTTTTTGTTTTGATAACACCTTCTTTTAATCAATGATAGCTGAATATCTATCCACAGGGGAAGCTTACATGGTGGACTCTTTTCTCCTCTACTGTGAAACCTGGTAGCAGATAAATTGCTGAAAACACTGAGCAATCAAGGGTTGTACGCCCAAGGATACGCTGATGACATAGTCATCATTATCTGAGGGAAACACTAAACTACAGTCTTTGAAGTCATGCAAAACGTTCTAACGTAGACAGAAATGTGGTGCGTTAGGTAAAACCTATTGGTAAACCCAGACAAGGCACAACTCATAACATTTACTCGGAGAACAAAGTTGAAGGCCTTTCTCCAACTCTGTTTGGAGAAGGGTTAAAAAGAACGAACCAAGAAAATGTCTAGGTCTAATCCTAGATAGCAAACTTTCTTGGAATCAACACAAAAAGTGACCAAAAAATGTAAAATGTTTTTCTATTGTAGGGAGACGAGCATTTGGGGAAACGGGAATTAAAACCAAAAATGGTCAACTGGCTATATTCGGCAATAACAAAACATATGATAACTTATAGAGCGGTTGTTTGGTAGCCAAAAGTAAACCAAAAAGCAGCCCGCAATACCCTTTCATAAATACAGAGGCTGGCATGCCTTTGTATTATAAGATCATTGAGAAGTACACCGACAGCCTTTATGAAAATCATTCCAAACCTCCCACCTCTTGACCTAGTCATAAGGGGAGGTCAGAATAAGTACATATAGGCTTAACGTCAACACTGGGACACATAAACTATACCAGAATAACAATGAAGTAAGTTATTCTATAGTAAACATGGGATCAGATAATAATGACACTCCGCTTAACCTTCAACAGACTCTCCATGTTGGGAATGGGCTGTTAATACACTGCGACCTGAAATATCTATTATGTCCCCCTCTGTAGAAAGTGTAGGTTTTGGAGTGGCTTCAAGTTAGGTAAATCTCCCTCTTCTATTTGATATGCTCCTAGGTACAGTGCCCTTGGATTCTGTAGCTAAACATTCAGTTAGAATGTGAATGGAGGTTTCGGCCTTCTCCTGCAGAAGAAGATAGTAATCTTCTTCTTCTTCTTCTTCTTCTTCTTCTTCTTCTTCTTCTTCTTCTTCTTCTTTCTTCTTCTTCTTCTTCTTCTTCTTCTTCTTCTTCTTCTTCTTCTTCTTCTTCTTCTTCTTCTTCTTCTTCTTCTTCTTCTTCTTCTTCTTCTTCTTCTTCTTCTTCTTCTTCTTCTTCTTCTTCTTCTTCTTCTTCTTCTTCTTCTTCTTCTTCTTCTTCTTCTTCTTCTTCTTCTTCTTCTTCTTCTTCTTCTTCTTCTTTCTTCTTCTTCTTCTTCTTCTTCTTCTTCTTCTTCTTCTTCTTCTTCTTCTTCTTCTTCTTCTTCTTCTTCTTCTTCTTCTTCTTCTTCTTCTTCTTCTTCTTCTTCTTCTTCTTCTTCTTCTTCTTCTTCTTCTTCTTCTTCTTCTTCTTCTTCTTCTTCTTCTTCTTCTTCTTCTACTACTACTCTGAGTTTATTAAGGTGTCCTTTTAGTCGGCAATGCCCAGTAACGATTCCTGTTACAATACGTAGCCTGTTCTTGCTCAGGCAGATAGAGGCTTCTGATCTTTTCTGGTTATATTTGCCCAAAAGTATCTTAGCATGTCTCAGCCCAAAGAGATTGTTCCAATTATCGGTTCTTCTACTGCCCAATTTGTTTTTAATCTCTCCTTATATTATGTTACTGCTGATACCGCAAAACGGCTCAGGTCCCACAAAGTGTGTTTGAACTCCTTTCCTTGTGAGACTATCTGCAATCTCGTTACCCTGTACCCCGTTATGTCCCGGGACCCAAGTGAGAGTAACTATATTTTTCTCGCCTACCTCATTCAATTGTTCTAGATATCTCCAGACCATTTTTGAGCTGATTACGTAAGAGCTCAGCACTTTGATGGCTCCTTGACTATCGGACATGTTAATAATCTCTTGTCTACGATAGTTTCTCTCGATGTTAAACTGGATACACTCCTAGATGTCGTGAATTTTCGCTTGGAAGATGCTTGGGTATTTTCCCAAGCTTTCGGAGTGCTTGGTTCTCGGCCCATACACTCCTATTCCAGTTCCTTCTATGGTTTTGGAACTATCCGTATACCACTGAATAGCATGTCTTTCGGTTGCAAGCGTGATGGATTCTTGGTTCCATTCTTTCTTGCAACCCACCTTTGTGGTTTTGAAGTTTTTCACAGAACTGTACTTCTTTACATTTCATCCTAGGACATATCCCAGGTATCTTTGGTCCTGAAGCAAATAGACTTTCGTCTGATTACTCCGTTTCTGATCATTCTATATCGTGTCCTTTTTACCACATTCTTTATCATTACATGTAGAGGGGCGAGGTTTAAAAGCACCTCCATTGCGGCCGTAGGGCAGGTTCTCATTGCACCGGTGATGCAAACACAGGCTAGTCTTTGTACGTTTATAGCCCCGTAAGTGACGATTGGTCTCAGTATTGCGGTATACATCCATAGCAGTGTGTTCGGGTTACATCCCCATCGTTTAACCGCAATGTTTCTGCATATTAGGGCTTTTGTGGCCTTATTTACTATTTCCTTCTTATGTGTGTTCAAGAGAAGTTTGTTGTCCAGGGTTAGGCCCTAGATATTTGACTTCTTTTATATCCATCCCGTCTAATTTAACGCTTTTGAGATTAAGTTTTCTTTTCCTTGAAAAGGCTACTAGTGTTGTTTTTGTAGGGTTTATAGTTCCCACTTCACGGCACCATCTTTTGGTATGTTCTAGTCCTCGTTG